GACTAAAAAGTCCTTTTCCCAAAGCTAATTTTGGGCATCCAGAATCCCTGTCTCCAGATATGCCTCATTTTAAAGATTTTAATCTCTGCCCTGCTTTTCTCTACCCTACAGCAGACCTGTGTGCTGGACACGGGACAATAATGCCACATCCTGAAACAATTTGAAGCAGGCACCTGGTTACAAGCAGAAATCGCTTTCTTTGCTTTTTGCTCCAGATTAGAAATCTGGGACAACAGCTTTGGAAGCAAGCTGGATGTGTGCAGTAGCATCAGGAAAGCACATCCACAGAAAGGTGATTTTTGGGGATCTTTCAGATTTAGCCACTGCTTGTTTGGATGGAGCGCAAACCTGCAGAAGCCTTGGTACCAAAAGCATCGTAATGACATAGCAGGAAGAAATTTCCTGGGTCAGGGCTTTTGCTTGACGTGGTGCCTCCAGCTGAGGAAGGAAGATAAAGCTGAAGTCCTCCTGAGGTGCAAACACCCATCAGTGGTACTCCACATTCAAACAGCAATGCCAGGACAAACCAGAAATATCTGCTGAGCTACACACAGCCCAGTTCCACCAACAGCACATTGGAATTCCCACAGGATTTGCCAGCTGGGCTGGGGTCTGCAGGCTAGCAAGCTTTGCCTGCTGTGGGGTCACTCCCACCTATCCCTGCTGCTGTCAAGGAATCATCACACAAATGTGATGATCACACAAAGCAGGGCTTTGAGGAACAAGCTATTGGAATTCGATGATGACTCCAAGCTTGGAAAAACTGCAGCAAATAAACCCTGCAGTGGGTTATGTAAGGACTGGGGCTTGGGCTGGAGTCAAAACCAGAAATATCATGTTCCTTTTGGGAGCTGAAATTCTAATCTTGGGCTCTTGAATCAATGAGTAGGGGTCAATACATTTATCACCACTGATGAAGATGTTTCTCCTCACACACAACCTGATTGACACCGGTGCCATTCCATCATCTTCAGCAAAGCCACATTTGATTTATGCTGATTGGTGCTGCCTGGAGGGGACAGCCCACCTCTGCCTGCCCTCCCCAAGATGGACACACATTTGCTTTTGAACAATCCCACCCTTTTCTGATTGAACTTCAGCTCCTGGATGTGTATTCCCAGGCAGAAAGATGAGGGGGAAATTATTTCTGTGCAGGACATTTACACTCCGTGCCAATCCAGGGGAATCGCTGAGTGTGGATTTTGTGGATATACTCCATATCCACCCATCCTCTCCCCTCACAGCTCTGGCTCATTCCTTGGGTCACAACTCTCCTGCCAACAGGCCTGACTGGCAGCACAGTGAGATTCTCTGACAGGGAACTGATAGTTATGCTCATTTTTCTGTTCCTTCATCTCATGTCCTGAACCCTGCCATTTTATTCCAGGAATAAATTACACAAATCCTATGACGTACACACACAACCTGATTGTAGAGCAACCCAGACACCATTGCACAAATCAAGAATCTAAGATGACTTTATGAAGGCCTGTCCAAGACTCCTCAGTCCATCAGCACATTCCCAAACAGGGAATACCAATGACCAACCTGGTTCAAGGGTCAAGCTCCACCTTGCTGGTCTTCCTCAGCCCTGCTTCCTCTGCAATTCCACAGCCAAACCTCCCATGGAAGGGTGCCAGAAGGTGCTGAGGAGTTCTACCCTGGTCTCCAGCCTCTGAGGAGCAGCTGAGGGGCCCAAGAGCAGCAGGAGAATTGCTCATTCCAAACACAGCCCCATTTCCAGCCTGCCACTCTCCTTGCCAAGAAATGTGAGAATTATTTGTTACACCTTCCTTCTTCCAAATGTAAACTGCTGACCCTTTCTGGAACAATACTCCGTGGCTCTCCATCAATCTGGAAATCCTGGAACAAAAGGAATCACATCCCCACTGGGAGCTGTTCTTTTGAGAACATGTTGGTAGTTTCAGGGACAATTTGGTAGTGAAAGGACAATTTGGTTTTCTATTTTTTTTTCTTTTTTTTTGCTACAGACCCACAACACCAAGTTTGCATTTCTGAGTCACCTGGGATACTGGAAGGTGTCCCTGCCCATGGCAGGGGGTTTGGGTTGGGAAGGACCTCAAAGCCCATCCCATTCCAGCCCCTGCCATTTCAGGGACACCTTCCATTATCCCAGGGTGCTCCAAGCCCCAGTGTCCAACCTGGCCTTGGGATCCAGGGGCAGCCACAGCTGCTCTGAGCACCCTGTGGCAGGGCCTGCCTACCCTCCCAGGGAAGGAATGGAATGGGAATACTTGGGAAAATTGCAGCTAATGAAGCAGCTCCCAGGTGTTCTTTCTTTCAATTCCTTCCTGATGCAGAGATGAATGAAGTTTCTCTGTACCTCTCATGCCCAAAATCCTTCACCTGGAGAGTGCTACCACCATGGTTTGCCCTCAGGTGGGATGGCAGAGACTTCGTCACAACCTTCATTCACCTTCAAACCCAGCAATGGCCATTTGGGACAGGATTTCCTGGGCTGTGTCCATGCTCTCTGTGGGCACGGGATATGACCCAGGGAATCAGCAGGAGGAACTCAGAGCGGCCTGAGGGTTGCCATCCTGTGGCAGAAGATGTTTGCTCCTGGGTCAGGCACTGGGAGCGAAGCAATGAACCTGTTCCCTTGAATGGATTCGGCCATCCCTGTGGTTGAAGCTATGCCCTGGAGCAGGACAGTCCCTTTGCACAGGTGGCAAAAGAGGCAAACAGGCACTGGGGTGGCTTTCCAGAGCTGGTTCAGCATCCTAAATCCCTTGTGGGAATCCGCTTGCAACAACCCAGCTCTGCTTTCCCAACTGCACCCCCGCAATAAATCCATGTGTAGGCACCCAGGCTGTGGGGGCCACCAGCAAGTCCTGACCTTGGGAAGAGCTTTCCAAGCCACATCAGCTCCTTTTGTGGGAACAAAGTGTAATTTCTACCACAGTGGCTAATTTTAGATGACTCCCACCCAGTCTGTTTGCTGAAGCCCGAGTGCATTTGAACAGGGAAACTCCAGCGCCAAAGTGATTCCAATCTCAAAAACAATTCCTTGCCAGAAGAGGGGGAGAGGGTGACGGGAATAAAAGCAGATAATATTTTGGATTCACTATCCAAGCCAGTGTTTGAACTGAGGGGAATCCAGCTGCAGGCAGTGCCCTCTCGTGGTCCAGGATTATAATCTCCCCTTTCCAAAAGCAGAGGAGGGCTCCTGCCAGCATCCCTGCTCCAGCTCAGCCCTGGGAAAGCAGATCATCACCTCGGGGAACAGAGTGAACAGAAACATCTGCTGCAAAAACTGCATATAAAGGCTGTGCACAACTATCTCTCCCTGCACTTAGATCATGTTTTGTGCCTCTTTGCTCCAAACCCTTGTGCTTTATCCTTCTGAAGCTGTTTTTATGCATTTTTCCACGTCCTGTTTACACACCTTGCATAGAGAAAGAGAATAATAGAAAGAAAAAACATTACCCTTACAACTCCTCCCTCTGCAGTGCCTGAATGCTTTGAAATATCAGGGAAGAACTTCCCTGAGGGAGCCAAGATGCCATGAGCTGGCACAAAAAGCCTCCAGGCAGAGCATCCACTGATCCCGAACACCCTCAGGAAGCAGCACAGCATTCTCTCTGCTCTCATCTTGGAAGAGTTTGCGCCATGGCTAGATGCCTCCTTCTCTGATCCCACTCCCAGGGATGGCTAAGCCATCTCCTCCGAAAGCCCTTTCCAAAAATAATCAGGCTGAGGCAGACACCGAGCATGGAAAATTTTAGCCCGGGCCATTCCCATCAGACACTGCTGCACGCAGATGCAAATGGAGAAACGGGAAGGGCAATCCCAGGTTTTGGCTGTTTGGTGTGCGCTCACGTTAGCACCCCCGTCTCCTGGAAATGTGGCAGAGGAAAAGAGGGAATAATAAAGCCTTCCACCCGGAGATAAGGAATTGTTATCAGTCATGTAGTGACATGGGCCTGGTGGGCCTTTGCTTGCAGCCTCTCCGGTGTCCAGCGGGTTTCCCTCTCTCTGCCCTTCCAGCAACAAGTCCCACTGACAGACGAGGCTTATCCAAAGCCCGTTCCAGCTCACGGCTCCAGCTGGGAACCCCAGAGAAGGCATTTTGCTAAGCGAGCTGCTGAGAAGGGAGCGTGTTGGCGATCCCCCGCTGGAGCGCGCGGGAGAGCTTTCCCCAGCCCGCGGTGCCGCGGCTCCCCGGGCCACAACAAACTTATATGAACTGGAACAGCCATTATTGGAGGTTACAGCACTGGGCCCAGCCAGGGAGTTAATTCCAGACCTGCCTTGCAGCGAGCGTCTAACTCTCCCGTTTTTCGGGTACCGGGAATTCTGGCCTGCGGTTCCCAAGGTTTTTGGCTCGCAGACGCTCTCCAGCCAGCACCCCTCTCCTGGTGCTGTTTGAAACATCACAGACACTTCTGGTACTGCATTTATTCCCTCCATTCCATAATTTCCCCCTCCTGAGGAGGTGCACACCAACCCATTCAAGCATTTTGGGTGATGCAGTGGAACTTCCCAGCTGTAAGCAGCAATTGCACCGATTTTTGCACATCCAACAGGCAGATTTGCAGCATTTAATCCCACTTTATCAGGCCAGGGAAACAACAAAGCACATGTTTAAATGGAAGCCTTGCTTATACTTAAATTAGGCAGAGCTGACATGAGGGTGCAATTAGCACAGAGGATAAACTCCTGTGTTGGGATGGATCAACACCTTACACTGAGCAGTTTATCAGTTTTCCTTTCTGCTGCTGGAATACATGCTGCACTCCTAAATCCACCTTTTCCAGGAAGGTAATTCCATATTATCAGTAAGTTTCCAACAGACACTATCCAACTCTCCTTCTGATACCCCGGGGAAGGATTTCTGCCACATCGTGACAGGAATTTCAGGCTCAGAAACATTACGCTGCCCTAGCAGAGGGATGGATCTACTTTCAGGGGGTGAAAAATCCCCAAGCCAAACAAAAACCAGGAAAAAAAAAGCTCTTTCAATAACTCAATTTTCCTTTTTCCACATTATATTTTTCTCCCGGCTCTTACATCTTTGTGAAGCGTTCTCAGTACTGCTCTTCCACAGCCAAACCCTGCTCCTTGGGGTAAAACATCAGGAAAACACGCGACTCTGAGCCAGGGCTGTAACTCAACCGCTCTGCAAAATGAAAGTAATACGTGGTTGGTACCTTCCCAGCAAATTCATAGTGTTAAAAATCAATAATAACTCTGCAATCCCATAAAACTGCAAAATCAAATCAGCAGAAGAAGCTGGAAAAGCCTTGGGAGTTTTGCTGATATGTATTTTTTAAAAAAATCAGAAATGATTGACTTTCAAGGCATCTTAAATAATGTGAAGGAAGAATTATGCCCTACAAAAATAACATGGAACATTCAAGGGAAATCTGAAGAGATCTGATCTTATTATGAGGTTGAAAAGTGCTGCCCTTAACTTCTGAGAGATTTCATAAAATTAAACACAGAAGAGCTGGGAAGCCTCCCTTCTAAAGGTGTTTAGCACAAATAGTGAGATCAAATGCAAATTAATATAAATACTGATCTTTTCCAAGCAGTAAAAAGCAGTTTAAAAAACACATTAAAAACGCATTCAGGGAATTTGTTTTAATTCTTCACTACCATATGAATGCAAAATAAGTAGTTTTTAAAATACTCTCACTGCTTAAATAAATTTAAGCCCCTGAATAAATAGCAAGGGAAGTGTTTTTTTGCCCTACGTGATTTTTTTCCACTTCTTTTGCTTTGTGATATCTGTTACCTTGCTACTTATTCCAAGCTGAAGTTCACAGCTGCAGGGAGGACTTTTTATTATCCCTCCTTGCTTTGTGAGCAGATCAGCTCGAATCCAGAGGGGAATTTCATGGTTGTGACTGTCTCCCAGCCTCCAGAGCTGAGGAAAAGCTGCCTAACCTTCCTTCAATAAAATATGTGCTGGAGCGGAGTGGTGCATTTCAATCTCAAACTAGAAAGTAAAACAACAAAAAACCCCAAACCCCACATTTCATAAAATCAACCAGATGCCTTAGGAGAGCAAATATCTTCTTCCTCTTTAATTAAAAGGTATAGCAAATAAAAATCTGGGTTTAATTAAACAGCAGGAATAGAAGATTTTATCTCCCCAAACCACTCTGCTGCGGTGAATTAACTTCTGCAGGTCTTATTTTTGTTTGAAACCCCCCCATATTAACCCAAACCTGGCACTCTAAAGGGGAAATTTACTTTTTATGAGAATATTTCTGTGCTCCACGATTAAGGCAGCCAGCTCCTGTATAAACCAGCAGGGGCAATGGTTTGTACTGGTTTAGGCTAAGACCAGAACAGGTCCTGCAGAGCCAGTTGATGTTGACCAACACACCCATGAATGTTCACACAGAAGCACATTTATCCTCTGCTTTACCTGCTGAACAATACAGTGAATTTAATTATTGTTTAATCCATCTTTATTTTCAAGACCTGCCCAGCCACTCGTTCCAGTCCCTCCATGCCGCAATTCCCAGATTCCTTGGAAAAATCCCCACTTTGTATCTCCATACAAAGTGCCAAGCAGGGTTAAATCCTGGCCTTTCCTGGCATCCCAAGCCAGGGCTGAGCCTGTTGTAAAATAGTGCAGGTGTGTTTATTGTAATAATCTCTAACTAAAAAGAAACAGGTTCAGGGGCTTTAAATATAATTAGCATGAGCTACACTCCTGCCTTTAATCACTACCTTGCTGGTTAATATAATCAAGAAGGTAAACAAACAAGGATTAACTCCATTAAATTAAAAAAATATATGTTCTACTGGGAAGCTCACAGAGGAATTTTGTTTTGTTCCTCTGCTGCGGAGCATCATTTTACTTCTGCTTGGCAAATTATTTTTAACATAGAAATATACTTGTCTTGGAGGAGACCTCTTCTATCTCTGCTTTCCTGAAGACAGAAACAAAACAAAAGCCCTTTTATTCATATTTCATATATGATGCAACCACTTCGGTCTTTCATGACATCTTTCCCTACAGGACATCTGTGCACTTTGAAATGTTTCACTGCACATCAAATTAAAGATAGGCTTGGAGTGACACACCTGCCGCTCTGACAATTTCTCTCAAATGATATGTTAGGTATAAAACCAGGTTTCAGGCACAGAGATCAGTGTTCCCAAATGCTCAGTCTGCACATTGTTCTAATGACCATGGCTGGACCCTCTTTGACCCCAGAAAACGCCTGAATCTGGAACTGACTTTTGCCCGCCTGGACATGGGACAGGATATTCTGAAAATGAGCTTTATCAAAACACACAGGGCTGAATAACCCTTCGTTCCACCTGGAAAGCTCGGCTTAAACTGCGCCTAAATACAGGAAACGCTCTTAATCAGCGGAGATGGAGGCACGAAGCTTTAACCTACGGCTCGCTGCGCTCCTGAAGTTTCCCGTCGGCAGGAGAAAGCCTGGATAAACACAGGCACGTGGCTACAAACCTGCCAGACGCGAGCACATCGCACAGCTCTGCCCAGACAGCAAACAGCCAGGGCTCCCTCCCTGCTTTCCTACCTCCAGCACAAAGCAGCCTGCGGCATCTTCCATGGACCTCCAACAGCAGATCCCGCTCGCAGCGATGCAGGGGAAGGGGAAGCCAGCCTTGCCGGCATCCTTATTGATGCAGGATGTGAGGTACCTCAGCCGGCGGCCTTCCCTCAGAATAAAGAGGCTGTTTGTGCCAGTCTCCTGGAACGCGGGGTGCCAGAGTTCAGAGGAAAATGGGAGCGCGTCACGGTAACGGAGAGGAGCGGGGGTGCCGCCGGGAGGGTCCCTCTGACACTCACACCCGTGGGGCTTTCAGCGTTTGAGCCCCTTTAGTTAGTTAGTTAGTTATCTTAAATCACACCGTAGCTGTGCCAAAAAAACACCTGAGGGGAAAAAGGAAAGAGAAACCATCATAGCATTCTCCGGCCGTTTGCAAATAAACACTGACATTTCCACTTAGGGAGGAGAAACACATCAGAACGGGCATATTCCTCCCAAAATCCTACATTTTCGAAGCGACGCAGGAATCAAAGCAGGTTCAGAAGATGCCCTGTGGATAGATGGTAGCTGAGACACGAGCCTGGAAAGCGTTACTGCTGCAAGTGAGCCCAGTTCCCAAGAATTATTTGATAATGCACAGATCTATTCCCTCTGAGCAGCTCCCTGAGCTCAGGGAATCTCAATGCAGAGAGAGAATAACCTCAGCGAGCTCTCGGCCACCTCACAACCAGAGCTCCTGGGATCTTTACACCCTCCACACTCAGAGAGGGATTAAACGGGATCCTAAATAAAGCCAGGCTCAAACACTTCCCTCCACTAGGTCAGAGATGAAGTTACAACTTCAGAAATGCTTGAAAACTGCAGCTATTGCAAGGGAAATGTCCATCAGCTTTCCTATTCTAGCGGCTGGTTAGAATGTTAACTCTAAGTCCACGTCTAATTAGAATTCTATGTTCATTCAAATCTAATCAGAATTGTAAGCTCAGTTATAGTATAATTCTACATCCAAGTCTAATCAGAATTCTAAATCAAATTTCAATCCTAAGTCCAAGTCTAATTATAATTCGACATCCAAGTCTAATCAGATAAGTCCAAGTATAAATATATGTCCAAGCCTAATCAGAATTTTAAGTCTAATTAGAATTCCAGTTCTAGGTCCAAGTACAATTATAATTCTAAGTCCATGTCTAATCAGAATTCTAAGTCTAATTAGAATTCCAGTTCTAGGTCCAAGTACAATTATAATTCTAAGTCCAAGTCTAATCAGAATTCTAAGTCTAATTAGAATTCTACATCCAAGTATAATTATAATTCTATGCTCAAGTCTAATCATAATTTTAAGTCTAATTAGAATTCTAAGCCTAATTAGAATTCTACTTTAAAGTCTAATTAGATTTATAATCCTGACTCTAAAAAATGAAATTAGATGTACCCATCCCAGTATTAATGCAAAGTTTTCCTCCACAATATCTGGGTTTTTAGAAGCCAAATGCTGATTTAACGGCACAAAAAAATGTCTCATAAAAACTGAGCCAACTTTTGCTTATAACCAACGGTGTTTTTCTGATTTCACAGTCCTAATTTTGCATTCAAAATGCAGGGAAAAAACATAAATGAACACCCTTTACATAGAAAATTTCATTTTGATGGGAAAAATATAAATCTTTAAAAATAGCCATTTCTAAGAGCAACTGGGAAAGGGTGAAAATATGAGTAACACAGGTCCCGTTTCTGCCTCTCATCATTCCTTGCCTGTGGAAGCTGGGCTCCTGGAGCTCATCTGCTCTGTTAGACAGAAAGGTGACTTGAACCACATCTGTCCAGAGGCAAATTCTCCCAGAGGGAATTCTGCTTCACAGCCACATGTGTTGGATGTGTGTTTTTTTGTTGTAAATGCACCCTGTCACGCATGAGTTAAAGGGATGGCAAGAATGTAGCTCAGCTCCACTTTGAGGACAAGAAATATCCATGCACTGCATGTATTTGGGTTTTTATTAAAAGGAAAAGATATTCAAAAGTCAAATAATATTCAAATCATAGGCTTGAGCACTTGGAATAAATTGCGACTCTCACTGAGTGATAAATTTCTCTCTGTGCCCTTTGAAAAGGATTTCAGGTGTTTATGAGCTTCTGCATTTCCCAGAGTTTTGCTCATTCCTGGTGCACTTCGGAGAGGCCTGTGGGGCTGGGAAGGTCGGAGCCCCTTGGATCCTGTCCATCCCCAGCCCAGCACGGGGCCACTGGCTCCATTTGGCTCCAGTGCTGAGCCAAATTCCCGGCTCCTGGAAATCAAGGTTGGAGATGAGCAATGTCCCATCATTTCCCCATCGGCCAGGGCCACTCAGTGGTGGCAAAATGAGCCCTTTCCACTAATTTTTTAGGGCAACCAGTTGAAACAAAAGTGGGATTTTTCCAAGGCAGCAATTTCAACGGTAGCAGAGACAGATTGCAAAACATTTTGAAACTCCTGCTGTCCCAGCACCTGCCATATCTCAGGGCTTGCCACAGAGTGGGACTGAGCCCAGCAGGAACTTCCAAACACCATTAAAATTGGGATGAGATTTTCTGTAAGAATGAAACTAGTTCCTTGCTGCCTTAGAGCCTTCTCTCAGTCCCTTGCCACAGCTCCCTGGAACACTCCATCGTGTTTTCCCAAAACCCGCTGATGCCCTGGAAAGCCACGAGCCATCCATGATGTGTCCTGCATGATGATAAAGGCACAAAGAACAGCAGCAAAGCCAGAGATGGTTGGGACATACTGGAGAAGGAGAAGAGTAGGATTGGTTTGGAAATTGGGATCACTGGGTAGCTGTCAGCACTCAGTGCTGGTGGAGACCAAATTGTCCCTTTGAACACCAGGATCCCTCGACACCTCCCGTTTACAAAGAGGCTGGAATGAGGTGGAGGAAGATGGCAACTAACAATGATTCCTGGATCTCTGGAAATTCGTGGAACTGAGATAAATTGAGGCAGAGGAGATGTCACAGTCGTGTGCTTTATGTGTTCATAGAGCATCGTTAGGAAGAACAGCACCGCAGAACTTCAACCCAAACTTCTCTATTGAGAAAGAACATGGATCCACACCTGTTGAGTCTGAAATAAACCATCAGTGTTTTTCCTACTTATTTCCCTCCAAATTCCAGAAAATGTTCATTTTCGCAAACATTTTTTCAAATCTTTGAAAGTATCTGTTACTGTTGCTAACCTGACTGGTTACCCTCATGTGTGCCCCAAAGCAGAAATCAAAAAAAACCTAGTGTAAACAAACAAACAAACAAACAAACAAACAAAATACAGAAAAAGGAATTATTGCACTAAAATGCTGATTTTTAAAGCAGTATTGTGATGAAAAAAGTAGATTAATTTGGTAGTGTAAAATGGGGAAAGAGGAAATGCTCAAGAGGAGCAAAGGCAAAATCCTGCTGTGTTTTTTTAGGTGCTTCAGCACAAGCTTTGGAAAGCATTTATTTTAGGACTGGGTCATTGATACACCTCTTTCTTCCTCCACAAGAAAAATCCAAGAATGCATCAATATCGTTTGAGTTAAACTTCTTTTACTTTCATCCCTTAGGTCAGCAAACATTAGAGAAAGAAATGTTTCAATCAAACACAACATTTCATTTTATCTGAGACAAAATGTTTCAGTTTTGGCTCAGAGTGAATTTTACGCTATTTAAAAACACAACATTTAACCAAATTTAGCCTCATAATATTTTTTTGAACTCAAAATATTTCCAATCTAAAGTTTCAGAAATAAACCAATTTTATTTAGGGGAAACCCCACTCTTTTCATTTAGATGTGACTTATATTCAATGCCAACTCACAAAGGGTTTTTGTCAAACTGAAAAAATGCACAATTTGGGCACATCAGCTCAACATTTCCTGGGCTTTGATTGGAGGAGGAGCCATTCTGTGGTCCTGATGTGCACTTTGGGTACTTGACTATTGCCAGGTCTGTCCTAGGCTGCTTTTGTGCCAGGTGCTGTAGAAGGCACTAAGAAAAATACTGTTGTTGTTGTTGTTGTTGTTTGACTATTTCACCAACAAAGCAAATCAACAAAATTCCCCTCCGTTTCCCTTTTATCTTTGGATTGAGCCATCTTTCTTTTGGCATCCCCGTTCCCCATGGTCCCAGCAGCGCCAGCTACACTTGAGGCCTGATTTGAGGGACAGGATCAATAACAAAGAGCAGCAGAAAGAGATGATCACCCACACAAGATTATAATAACATCATAATATCTGCTCTAGCTCTTTGGTGGCTCCAAAAACGTGCAAGTATGGTTGGGGAGATGGAAAATAATATGAAACACTCACTAACAGCATGTAGCATAGAAACTCCGAAAACCACTGCAGTCATTGACTCACAGATGGTCAAATGAACAACATGTTTCTATTCCTGTATTTAATTAAATCTTAATTATGCCACCAACAGGGTTCAAAACAGCATTATGAAACAGCTCGCATGAATAGCAGGACGCGATTGGCTGAGGGGGCTTTGAGCTGGGGTAATTATCTCCCCAAAAAAGCGCTGACGGTAGGGCTGCACAGGCCCTCTGCCAGGCAGCCCGGTGCACCAAGGCTGGAAGTAAATGTGTGCAGGATACACCCAGCTCAGGGCATGGGGCTGACCAGTGGAGGGGCAGATGCCAAATTGCCAGTGGGAGCAGCTGGGAGGTGCTGGAGTCCGAGGGAGGCTCCCACACCTGGGCAGGCTCTGCTCTGCCCCTCACCTTCGCTGCTCCCTAAGAAAATCGACCCTCTAATTTAATTCTTCCACCAGCCAGTCACATCAGCTAATTAAAAGCAGCTGCCCGAAATATTCCTTTGATTTATCTTTCTATGCTGTTGACAGAAGGTCCTTTATGAAAAAGAAATATTTTGGAGGATCTTTCTCTTTCATTTTTAATATGGCATCTAAAAAACCAAAAGCACTTGTAAGAGCACTTTCCCAAGGAGTTCTGCTTTTTGCAGTGCTTCCCTGAGCAAGGGACTGGGCAGGCCCATCCTAAATTCATCTCCCAGGATTTTCTCCTATCTTCTAGTGACATTTCAAGTTCCTTGTCAACTTGAAATTCAGAGTAGGGATCACCTGCCCCTTCCACACTTAAAAACATCACAGGGAAGAGCTACTGCATATCTGAGAGCATCCAAGGCTCGCCTGTCCTACAAGCCAC